TGCTCGGTTTGAACGGCAGGTGATTGTCTTGTCTTGCCTAAATGCACTGAGTTGCCGCCATGTGATTGGCTGCTTAGAAATTAAGTGTTAACGAGCAGTTGGACAGGTGTACCTAATAAAGTGGCCGATGAGTGTATAATTCAACTTCAAGTCAAACATAAGTCAACCTCAATTGCAGGTGCTTAGAAGTTAAAACCACCACACTGTCAGTTTACTGTGTCTTCAAAGGACACACCCTTTGGCTACTTGAATGTTCAGATTTTGGAAAGAGACAACAGTAGGCTTGAAAGAGGGGTGAAGGAAGCATCTTTGTTAAAAGGGAAAAGCTTTGGGGAGGGGGACTGGTTTCAGCTTCCAAGGATCTCCAATTTGGTTACAGAACTCACAAAATTACATAAACAAATTCTGTTAGGTTGGGTGGAGGTTTTGAGGACCCAAATGCAGAGGAGTAGGCACCGATGAGTTTGGATCATTTAATGAAAGTCCAAGGGGAACAGAGGCAAAAATACAAAATACTAAAAATACTAAAAACGAAACAAAAACCAATTAACATCAGGGAAAAGACTCGAGGGAAGCAAGAGACGAGAAAGCTACAAAACAAGAAACCAGCACTGAGTGAAGGCTCTGGTGCTCTTTTAAGCCCAGCACTCTGATTAGAAAGATTATCTTCACCTGTGTAGGCTACCCAGGTTCTTTACAAAGATCCTCTCTGAAAGAGATGCATTACTTGCCCTCACTAACACACAGGAACCCTGACAAATTCATCATGATTCAAATGGCCAAGCACATAGCTCACACAGCATGACTTGTTGGTCACTGATTTGCATCCGACTTGAAACATACTGAGGAAGATGTACCTCCAAGCTGCTTAAAAACATCAGCGTTCCAACTTCAGATTGTTTTGGTACAAGCTGAAAGAATCGACAAAGACTCTTTAATAGGATCGAAACATCGTTAGAAAAACTGAGTAAAAGTCTGATTCCCTCAGATCAAAGTCTGTGTTGCGGTTCATAAACAACAGCTCAAACATTTCAGCACTGGTTATCATATGGTCACTTTTCACTTGTTCGCCCACTTTACACGACAGTAAACACTTTTAAAAAAATCATAAATCCTAAAAAATCCCAAAATATTTAGATGGAAATCCTTAAAACAACTTTGTCAGACCTGTAACGTCTATTGATTTCAATTTTTGGAAAGGTGGGATATCTCCAAAGTTCAGAAAAGTTTAGCCCAGCCAGTTTTACATCGATGTTCAGAGAAGTGTAGCACGGTCTTTTTAACATAATCTGATTCTGTGATTAGCCACCAGGTCCACTTATCAGTCTATAGAGCATTTCAAATATAGTGGCTACTCACTACTCTCTATTAAGCATCCTCTCAGTTGGACTGATGCCCCTTGATGGCACTTGAGGATATAACTACACCC